AAATAAAGACACAGATATCAACGGTTGATATATGACTACTTAAATTGGAATTTCAGATATAATAATTTTTATAATGCCTATCTATCTTCGTATTTCTGCAGGATATGTTTTTGTTCCTCACAGCAGAAGTGCTGGTCTGCGCAGTTCCTTGAACCCACTCCTTTATACTTGCGCGTTCACAGGATCATGATCAGTGGGTGTGCTCCTATTTATTACTCACATGCAAGTAGTAGCTATAACCACTAGAGGGCAGCAAATTAAAATATTTGAATAACAAAACTATGATGTTAAGCAGATAGAAAAGATTTGTCTATCAAATCATTTGCAAATGTAACCGCATCAATCAGTTCACCCTTGCATGTTACATGATCACCTGATTGTTTTAACAACACACAGAAAACAATAATAAAAAAAGCCTCTCTAAAGTTTTAAAATTAATGAGACTTAAAACAATTACAATTCTTTAGAATTTTGTGATAAAGATCAAGAGTACAAATCCTTTTACAGCAAGTTGTATAGTTTAATATTCTATTTTGTTGTAATTTGTGATATAAGTAGCATTAATCCAACTGATGGGATGAAGATGTCAATCACCAAACACTATGAAAAATTACTGATTTAAAAAATCTAATCAAGTCTTAACTATATGTTCTCAGATATACTTGTTCTTATTTTTTATTTAGTAGGTTGATGAAATTATTTCGACCTAGAAATAGCAAGCAGGTCATTTATCTTCAGGTAGCTTTTTGTTTGGATGCCAGAGTGCTTTTACGATTCAAGTATGACATTGATAATATCATCTTATATTATTATGAAAATAAGTCGTTAGGAATCTGAAGAGTTAAAGAACCCAACATACCATGATTTTTGGGGAAAGTGGTAATGTTTTGGTACATCAAATAACCAGTGAGTTACAACATTACACCCCACACATACACATTGTCCTCTCTCTTCCGTAGATCATAATGGATTTCTCTATTGGAATATTTTGGGAGCTCCTTAGTCTCAAGCTTGGGTCGCCTGGGAGCTTGATGGTGCTTCTCAGTATGCTGCTGTCCCTAGAACTGCACATTTCTGGACTGACATCTCTCTGGTGTTCCCCCAGGGATCTGTTGGAGCCACCTTTCTAGTGTGGCTTACTGTCTTGACTTCTCCTATATATATATATATATATATATATATATATATATATATAAAAACTCTTCCTCTTTTTTTTTTTTTTTTTTTTTTTTTTACAGTGTCCTTACTGGCAATGTAGCAATAAGAATAATTGTCTTGATGCCAAAAAGAGCCTAACAGATTTTACTTTCACAAGTGGAGCAGCACAGATAATGCCATAGTGTTCCGTTTGATTTATGTATATACCCTAAGTAGCTTTATTATAATTCGTGCAGGGAGGATTACAGATTATATGGACATTGCAATTTGAATAGAACAGGAAATTAAAAACAGAGAAAAAAGGACAAAAGATTAAAGAAAGGGGAGATAAAAGGAGATAACAATAAAACATCTTCAGTCTGCTTTATCACCTGCAAAGAGATGTAAAAAGAACAGCACAACCAACGAATATAGTATAAGACATACAATAAAGTAACACCTTGATACTATCGCTGAAGTATAAGTAGTATTATTTAATCTGACATGTATACTGTGGTAGCTGAAGATAAGAATGTGGGCTTTCTGTATGGAAGTTAATCTCTAGCTACCTGGAACCAAGCACCTGTAGTTGTTTGTGAGAGTGCACTTGTGCATGCAAAGTTTATCCAAAGTAAAAATGCTCAATAGTGGTTGTGAAGAGCTGAAGACGCAAAGAAATTCTTCCTCACCCACCGGGCCATCTCCTATTTTTCCTCCAATAAATATAAAAACAATAATAAAAAACAATCCATTGGACTTGATTTCCAAGTTTGAAGATGCCATCAGAGTGAGGACCATTTTTCAAATTTCACCATCCCAGTGAGGACCTGCTGTTGTAAAGTGAGGACATTTTGCTGGTCCTCACGAGTTAGTTCTAGGGTTTGGGCATAGAGAGGGTTGAACTGACTGAAAATCAATGGACGTCAATGGGAGTCGATACATGGTCCTCACTACATATAGTAGAACAAACAGGTGTGTGTGTTCAACTATAATATGGGAGCAGTGTTTTATAAAATATCTGACATTGTGGGAGCTTGGGTATATGTTGGTAATGGTTAGGATAAGAGTCTAGGTTATGCTGTATCACCACAATTTCCCCATTGTGGGACAATAAATGGATTTTCTATTCTATGAAATGTCCCCATAAATCATGAAAATAAAGCTGTGTGTGTTTCTATGTGTATATAGTTTCTTACCTTTATATAAAGAAGATGTAGAAAAGGGTTTAGGACTATTTTTAAATAGTACATCATTACTTATGAATTTATTTATTTATTTGTTTTTATAAAAACTATTAAATAAATTATTAAAGCCATATTGGCTAATATGAGATAAGTTCGAATGAAAGCAAGGGCTTCATAAGTAATCTCCTTGGTGATTAGAGTTCATTAGATCTCAGTATACGTTTGGTTGTCTCATGGGATTGTCAGAGAACATAAGTAAACAAACAGCATCAGGAAAACAAGGATGGCAGCAGACAGGACATGTGTAGGAATTCATAGTGTTAGGGTTTGAAACAATATCACAAGCTTTAAACTTCTCACAAAGTACTGCTGAATATTTCCAAAGATATCATCTATGAGTCCAACACACCAAAAAAAATGTCTTTATGCAAGAGGAAAGTATTTTTTAACACTGCTAACAGGTTGAAGAAGATGTTCCTTTTCCTTTAGGCACTACATGCCAAATGTGATGAGTGGTGAAAAAACCAACACTCTAAATCACCTGGAACTCACCATCCTCAAACCTCGGCGTGGACCATGAGGACTTCAAAAGTGATAATTAAGAGGCAACACAACCAACTCCCATTGATTATGCATTTGCAATTTACTGCAGGGGAAAAATCTACTTAAACCCTTTATTAAATGTGTGTTGACCTTTTTATTGACCGACTAAATATGTTACTGTACCAGAATAAATTATATGTAGACAAACATATAAGCTGCTATCTCACCTTTTTTGATTGAATGTTTGACTTCTAAAGCTCTTTTACTTAAAACATGACATGGAGCTAAAAGTCACATAAAAGACATGGCTATCATATACTTCTGATCATTATTACTTCTCATTGACATTTTCTCACAAGAACTGACCTAAAAGTGGTAAGTAGTGTGCACCTAACACACGATCCAACTTCCTCCCTATAAAAATGAAGTCAGCACCCAGGAAGCCACACTTTGGCCACCCAACCCGGCACTTCATTTCCTTTGAAAGCAGTGGAAGAGCACCACCATCCCCTGATACACATCACTATAAGTGCATGTCAATGAGGTGCAGATGACAGGAGTGCATTGTGAGTTGGCTGCTGAGTGGGAAGCGCCATGTGACACTCCTGAATGGGCAGCCGGGGGTTGGCAGGAGGGAGAGGATGGTAGCATCCACAAAGGCGCATTCAGGGATTGTAGAGTAGGTACAAGACTGGCACTGGTCCTCCTTCCCTTCCCTGGGACAGCAGGAGGAGGCTGTTGCTTGGTACTGACTGAATGGGTTTTTTTTTTTTGAATAATGGGGAAGAATAAGTTTATTATCCCATATAGGACTTCCTCCAGTCTCTTTATGGACATTATGTCACTACTTCATTGTGTGACTGACAACCTTGTCTTGTTCATGTGGCCTCTGAGACCGAATAGTGTTTCCAGCGAGACAAACTTTTTGAAACGCTTCTCCTTGCAGAACTGTTCCTAACCCCTCTAACTTTTCTATATTTTGTCACATCGAAACGAAAGAACTCATGTATTTCACCCTAGTTTTAATAATGAAGCTAGTTAAACTAGATCCTTATAGTGAAATGGGGTGGAAAATTATGGCTTTCAATTTTTTTTTTCAGTTAAAATTCTAAAAACACTATTCAGTTGTACACGCTGTACCGGCTCTGTTGTGGTGAAGAGAGAGCTGAGCCAAAAAGGCAAAGCTCTCGATTTACCGGTCGATCTACGTTCCTACCCTCATATATGGTCATGAGCTTTGGGTCATCACCAAAAGAACGAGATCCCGGATAAAAGCGGCTGAAATCTACCCAGGATCTTCCTTAGAGATAGGGTGAGGAGCTCAGTCATCCGGGGAGGATTCAGAGTAGAGCCGCTGCTCCTCCACATCGAGAGGAGCCAGTTGAGGTGGCTCGGGCATCTGGTTAGGATGCCTCCTGGACGTCTCCCTGATGAGGTGTTCCAGGCAAGTCCCACCGGGAGGAGGCCCAGGGGGACACCCAGGACACGCTGGTGGGACTATGTTTCTCAGCTGGCCTGGGAGCGCCTTGGGATTCCCTCGGAGGAGCTGACCCAAGTGGCTGGGGAGAGGGACGTCTGGGCCTCCGTACCGAAGCTGATACCCCCAACTCTGGATAAGCGGAAGAAGATGGATGTATGGATGGATGGATGGATGGATGGATGGATGGATGGATGGATGGATGGATGGATGGATGGATGGAAAAGCCTTTCTGTACAATTATATCCTGCAATGCCAAGTCAATCACTTTGTAAAACTCAAGTGGAAAGCCTTCCCACAATAATGTTGCTGCCAACACAGTGTTTCATAATGGGAATGGTATGCTCACTGAGTTGTAGCTCAATACATATTAAAAGATAATAGGTCTGTAAAATATTTCATTAGCTCAGTATTTAAAAAAAATATTGATTTACAAAACGCTTCACTTTAAGTCTCATTTGTCATAATTCATGGGTTGAAATATTTCTAAAATACTGTTTTAATTTTGATCATCATGTATCCTCCTCTTTTCTCTCAGTGAAGCATCTCCTCCACAGTAGAGGCTGTTAATCCCGCATGTACCCCTCCTCCTCCTCCTCCTCCTGCTCCTCCTCGCCCAGTGTGCCGATCAGACTGGGAGGAGGTGGGATCTATCCACTGGTGGTAGTGGGTGAGTAACCGCGTACGTGCAAATCGTGCAGACTGCCAAAGGCGAGCGTCAGAAACGAGGCTTTCTGTTCAGTAACTGCGAACCCCTCCTTCATTAAACCAAATATCGGCCTCTCTCTGGTTCGGTCCAGATTAATTCCCCGGATCGGAACCAACAGTATCTGCAGCAGCTCTGAGAACATCCCAGGCGGAGCTGGTTTGTTTGTGATGAGGAGGTCGCCCTGCTGCAGGGCTTTGCGTAACATTCAGATAAGAAGGAGGAGAGGACATTTTTTTTTATCGCGAGGACTTCTTTCACTTTGGTTTCAGTCTTAAAATAAATGGTTTTGTGAAGAAATAAGCAGCTGACATTTAACACTACTACAGACGCCGGACAAGGGGAAATAACTGGTGAGTCTTTGGTTATTTAAACATTTATCTTTTTCTACAGTATAAACTTAGGGTGATGCTGTCAACTTTACATGCACCCTCATTGATTTAGCCGCCCTTTTTAAACACCGGGGGCATAATTTAACGTCATATGTATGTAATAAACGATGCGGATATTGGTTTGAAGGTGTAAAAGCGTCTTTAAAATGATGTTTAATGTGTCAGCTCGGTGAGAGAACCGCCGGAGTTGAGTGACGCTGTCATTGGTAGCAGCTTTGGGGTTAGCACTGCTAGCTTCATCAGCCAACCGCCGCCCAGCTGCTGGAAAAAAGCAATAAAACCTTCGAGGATGGCTGAGATTCTGGGGGAAATATCAGATTAAAACATCCCGATATCTGGTAAAAACAAATAAATAAAAATACTTAGATTTAGTAATTTTATGCTATCATGATGCTAATGTTTGCTGGTTTTAATTGTTTTACTCAGAATCCAGTGGTTAAAAGCTTAACTCGCCCAAAAATATAAAAAAGTGATGAAGAAAAAGGATAATAAACGCTTTAATTTCCCCTGGTTAGCGAAGCCAACCTGCTACTGTGTGCTTTATGTGTGAGTGGACTCATCTGCCATTTCACTGCACCTATTGCTGTAAGGTAGTGAAAATGGAGCTGATCCATATGAATCCAGCTAATGTTTTTAGTGTTCTTAAGGGAGTAATCATCATCTCCCTACCAGCAGAGGCGTAGCCAGAATATTTTTCATAAGGGTGGCCAGGCAATAACCAAAGTACACTGAAGGGTGGCCGAAAGCGGATCGGCACCAGAACCTTAGAATCAAAATAAATAACCAACCACAACATCCATATTTTCTAAATAAAGAAAAAATATACTTTCCTACAGCCTTTGCTAACAAATAGATGCACATATTTAAACATCCTTCTAGATCATCTAGATAAAAGTTCTTCCAGGTTTGAGTTCTGGGTCGAACATCTTTTCCATTGTCATTACTTACCTAATTTGATCAATACTCGTTTATTTACAATCATATAATTGATATTTACAAGTGTTTATTTACTAAGTTTTTATTAGAGTAGTTATTTATCTATTACTTAACTGAAGACTGACTTGCATTTTGTCTTTACCCCATATAGCAAAAATCTAGTTCTGAAAAGAGCATGAATTCTGTATTTATCATCTTTGATGTTAGTATATTGACGTGTCTAATTAACCACTGTGTTTTTGTGGTCAAGTAATTGTTAATCTATGAAAAAATAAAATGTTTTGAATATTGAGAGTATTACAGTAGTATCACTTGAGAGTATTACTGCTGCTACTGTCTCTATTATGGGGTAAAAAATGAAGATTGGGTAAGGGTGGGCATGGCCACCCCTGGACCCCCTATAGCTCTGCCCCTGCCTACCAGACTGCGATCTTAAGTACAGAATATAAACAACAGCTAACCCCCTGCAGGGTGTCTCATGAGGCTGTAGCTTTAAAGAGGAAATTGCAGATTCTTCTGTGGATTCAAAAGTTCACATTTGTTTAACTTTCTGTGCACTGACCTCCAGGATCAATAAGAGGAAATGAGGATTTGTGGCAACAAAATCGCATTGAAATGAAAAGTTTCAGCCTGCAGCTCTGTAAGCTTAGGTTGATATTGTTTGGTAATATATAGAAATGCAGCACTTTAAACTCCTTGTAAAGCTTTGACCATGATACTGAATTGGACTAGTTAGAATTTATAATTTTATCCATTCCAACTGTGCTTGTCATATTTTTTCTTGCTTTTATATTAGGCACTGAGGTGATGTCATGCTGTTTGTGTGATAAGTCAATGTAAAGCACAGTTTCAATGCTTTCACGTCTGACACACCCTCTCTGGCCTCTAATATTGATGGCTCAGTGTGGCTAGCATTACTAAACACCCCTCTCCCTGTCTGTTCTCTAAAGAATAGAGAGTAATGCTTTAAATCTGACATTTGTAAAAGGTTGCAGACTTTTTAAAATCCTGCTTCTTTAATGATGCAGAGAAATCTTTCTTATCGTCCTGCAGTTCTGAACAGCGGACATGTCTCAACAAGTCTTTCATCTTGGTGTTACTTCCTCTTTAAAGGAGATAGTTTTACTCCTCCCATCAGTAAGTGGTCCACCTGCCCTTTCCTATTGTTCCAACCTTCAATTATTCTGTTTGCTAGATAGCTTCCAGGTCCAACAATGCTGATGCTAAACTTGTTCTAATAATAAATAATAATAGTTGAACTTTATTGATCTCACACTGGAAAAATGTACTCTCTTCATTTTGACCCATCCCCTTGGGGAGCAGTGGGCTGTCACTGTGTGGCGCCCGGGGAGCAGCGTGGGGTTAAGGGTCTCGCTCTAGGAGTACAGGCTTTGGGGATCGAACCGGGTACTTGCCTGAGCTCCATCTCATGTGACGTTTACCTACTGTTCCTATTGGTGCAGAATCATTTTGTGTCCACCGTGGCATTGGAGCTAGAAGTATATATTTATAGGTTTTGGAAATTTCTTCTTCTTTATATAACATGTATACACCAAGTAAACTGTAAACCTTAAATGTAATGTCTGTGGATTCAATACCGAAACCTAATTTAATGGTTTTGGTTCCTTCCCTCCCTTGAGGTTAACCATCAGGGCAGGGGATGGACCACATTGGTGGATGAGAAAACTAAACCTAATGTCGGTGTGTTTAATATGATGTCATTACCTTCCTGTTTGGACTGACTTCTGACAATTTCACTGGACTTCCTTTGTGTTCTTCCAGCATTGACTTTAAAAATGGCAGCACCCCACCACTGCAATACGGTACTCGTATAATTATGAGGTAGTTCCGACTTAAGGTTATGGTATTTTTTAATTCTCCTCTGGACGGTCATCGGTCAGTTCTACTTAAATAAAATCCATCTGATTCTGGTAAACCACCGAAACCTCAGTAACGCGGTATGAGAGCTTTTGTCTTTCACCCATAGTACATGTATCTTTATATTGGCGTTACATGGCATACAATGTTTTCTTTTACCTCTGCTGTGGTTTTTTGCTGCATTTTAGACAATTTCCCAAGTCAATAAGGGTGAAACTAAACCCGAACTTTAACTGCACTGCAGATATACCTAAGATTCTAAGTTTTGGATTTTAAACCATAATCTCCAGAGAGCATTACCCAAGGATGCGTCTTTGTTTAATGAAGTCAGGGTTTCTGCAAGGTCATTAAAAGTCATTAAATTATTTTTTTTTTAGATTAAGGCCTTACTTGGCATTAAAATGCATTAAATGTGATTATCGTGGCATTTAAAAACAATTTCATCAGATATATCAGGTATAACTGGTTCCGTGTGTTTGTGATCGTAAAGCCTTATGTTCGGAAAAGAAGCTCGAGGCAGAGAAAAGGCTAGAGAATAGGAGGAAAAATGCAAATTTCAACTAAAGTGGCTGGAAAATGTGCATGCATCCATCCTTTCGACAGTAAAAATTAAAAAGGATTTTTCCATGTTTTATTTTTTATATATATATATATATATAAGGGTCATGGGTACTCATTGATGGCGTTAAGATTATTTCTAAGAGCATTAAAAGAGCATTAAGAAGCATTAAATTAGAGTTCCTCATTCCTGTATAAACCCTGAGAGTGGTCCAAAATAAAACAGTGAGCACACAATTTTTAGAATTCCTCCTCAGCCTCCCTCATATTCTGGCCAGCCTGGCCAACTCTGACCACTTTATGCTTTCTTTTTCATTGTTGTTTTACCGTCTATCATTTTGTAAAAAAAAAAAAAAAAAAACCCAGACAAGTATGGGATCTGTTTTCATTGTGTCACTACATGTGCTACCATTTTTAACTGGGGAGGATAAAGTGGTAGTTAATACACTTGATGGGCTGTAAATACACCTGTCTGTGCATTTGATTTATGAAAATGAACGCCTGTTTGCATAAGTTGGGGACACAGAGTTGGCAAAAGACACCTACCGCTCTTGATATTATATTTTCATAGAACGCCACCCTTAAACTGCTTGTGGTGCAATTTGCATCTCAGCTGAATCCTTTTCATGCTTTATGAATCTACAAACTGGTATGCTTGCTTCTACTGAACACATTTGATTAAATGAAAAGTTGAACCACCGAGCAGTTAGTAGACTGAGCAAATCTTTGCCAATAATAATCTTTTAAGATAACACCGACAGTTGATAAGGCTTGAACTACTGTTGATGTTTTATGTACTGAAAGGAAAAGTAGCCTGCCTCTCTGCAGATTACGGAGGTCAGCTGAAATCTTTCTCGCAGTCATCAGATTGGAAATATCACAGTTCTGTGGAGAGTTATCTTTACTTTTTGCAATCTGGCAAAACTCTGCTTCCAATTAGTTGCTTCAGTTTTGCACTAAGCAGGATAAATTGCTGCTGCTAATTATTTCTTTTAAATTGAGGCAAGCAGCAAGGGTGCTTTTTACCTCAGTTTTTAATCCCTCTTGAGATGGATAAAAAAAAAATCATAATTTTAAACTTTTATAAGGTTTAAGCCTCTTTTTACAGCACATGTTATAGTACTAGTTACGAGAGCAAGCTAAAAAGGAAGCGAGCATTACTACTTATAGTGTAGACTCCTTCCTCCAGTTAAAAGCTTAAACAGTCAAATTACATAAGAGTTTTGGTCTATCCTTAAAACAGTAGTTCTTGTCAAAAAGCTTGACCAACACTTTTTTTCTGTCTAATTTTAATAAGCTCGCCTGCTACACTTCATTTAGCTGCAGAGAGCCAATAGAACATCCAGTGCTTACCCAGGAGCTGTTCTTACATATGCACCTGGGATTATTTCTACAACAACTGCATGTGGCAGCACAAACCTCTGCAACATGTGCTTTAGGCTTCTTGTGTAGTTTTGTCTTACAGTCAGTTATACATTAATATATCAGCCAGATTATTGCAAACATCCATCATAGGAAGTGTTTTTGTCTTGTTTCTTCTTTTACTTATAAAGAAAAGACAAAGATGATTATTAGATCAGTTGTGTATT